TTGTTATTTAAAGTAAAATTTGAGTAAAACAAAAAACATATTGGTAATTCTAACACATTTTAGAATATTTTAGGACAAAAGAAAACGTACGATGAAAAATAGATCACGTTTAAAGAAAGAAATATATAGAAGTATATATGTACGAGGGCTATTTGATATGGCAGTGAGTTTTTGTTTGACCATAAATGGTGCTCAAGTTGCAAGAGTGGATTTGTCATTTAATTAGAATTTGTGTTACTTTTGCAGCAAATGCATTTCCTCTGCTTTCGTCGAGTATACTCGTCATAGGTTAAAATATAATTAAACACACCAGTGCCTGTTTTCTAAACAAATGAAACACCTAAAATTGTTAAACAAGAACTTGCCGAGAGCGGAAAATCCATGGAGTGTCGAAGAAAAACAGAAATATTCAGGATCGAAGTGTGTACAGCAAGGAAACCTCGAAAGACCAATTAGGGTAGAATTCGTGGTCGGAATTAAACGAGTGGACACTAGAGACCGGCTGGCACACTGTAACTAATGTGTACCTGACCCATTTTAACGATCGATAACAGACCGGTGGACACGATTAAGCGCGAATGACAGTTAGAAACGGACCAGAGGGGAGGGGGGTCGTCATTAAGGGATGAAATTCGTTAAGGTGATTCTAGGATGAACCGTGCAAGAGTTAGGGTAGATGTCCCGATTACTGCCACCTTAAGATCGTAAAATAACTTCATTACAATCATTTTACGTGTTGTGTTTAACCTAAACATCGTCTCTCAGTTTCGAGCAGAATATTATTTAACAGATCCTCTTTCATTAAAAGAAATAGTATTATATATTAAATACGAAGAATTAATCAATAATCAATTACAATCTGCGAGCAATACCAGTGTCCCTGTAACACCTCACCTAAAAAATTAAAGTAATTCTCATAGTACTTTAACAATTCATATTGTACAATAGATACAGATCGAATAATAAAATTACGGCTCTTTCGTTAGTATGATTTCGCCATCACTTCCTACTCGCGGTTTCGACGCTGAAATTGCACTTTCATTTTTCAACATTAATTTTTAACTACCAGGTGTCACACAAGGACATATACTTCTTTATTTTTATTTGTAACTCACAGTTCCCATATACTAAGAAAATGTTTCATACACATTTCTTCATACCTTACGGTTTTATTAAATGAAATAATCAAAATGGTTCAGTATTAGGGACACTAGTAGTAACTGGGACAATTCACCCTAGCTCTGTTAGTTCGTTTGCTATATATAAGTTAATTTTCCATTTTGATTCGCTTCCCCACTTAAAAAGGGACCAATACCATGGGCATCGATCGACGTTCGCTGTATTCATGGAATAATATGCGTTGTTCCAGACACGCCACGAAAGCAAAAAAAACACTGAGATCGCGATCAAGGGAAAGTTTCCACTGATCACGGGTTAAAACGTGTTAATCGATGTCCGATCAAAGTTCGACCCCCCCACCCCAGAGTACGCCAGGAAGATTGAAACTGCATCATTAATCCGAATCCCTGACCCCCTCCCTTACGTTTTGCGAACAGGATTTTCTCCACTGTTTTTCCCTTTCGTAAAAAATGCAACACGCGAGCAGCGTGTTTCCTTCGGTCAGCGTGTGCACGTCGGGGTGCCCGATCGATGCCGACTGTTACTACATATACACCCGCGCGTGTCCATTATCATCGTCGAACAGTATACGAGCCACAAGTTACAGCCGAGTGGAATTAGCACCGCTTTCCCATCGATCCTGCCCTCTGAATCATTTACGAGTCACGGACCGTGTGTGTGTGTGAGTGTATGCTACGACGACTGAGAGCGCATTCTTAAAACCTCCATACACGTAGTGGTGGTATCGCGCTCCATCGGGACGACGGTTCGACAAAATTTCAATTTCTTCTTTGTCGACACCGTAACTCACGACCGCCCCCCGGCCATCTTGGTTTTCGTGAGACTCCACGGGACCGTCTTGGAGAATTTGGTAATGTCCTTAATTACACACACCATATCAACACGATGGTCATCGATCGACAAATTCGGGTGTTTACAACATTTTTTATTTCCTCCTACAAGTGGGAATAATAATAATAATAATACACAAGGCAACACACAATAAGCGACTCGCGAAACTTTTGATCTACAGTTATAAACCAGGGGAAAGTCAGTGTTGGTCCAATAGCGATCGAAATTTATCGTCTGGGCAGACGGATCTCATCTGTGTAGAAGATCCCTTTACTAGATCAGAGAAACAACCAGCTAAAACCGTTTCTACGGAGTCATCGTTTCAAATAACGCTCCATATTAAGTTAAACGTTCCCCAGATGGAGGGGGAACACACCTGTGCTTCTAGAACGTGTTTTAATGAGACGACTCTTTCGAGATCGAGCGAGAAAGAAAGGTGAGAAACAATAGCCGAAGGGAGTGGGGTCTAATCTGAAGGGCACTGGATCGAACCCTTCTTCTTTTCCCAGCATTGTCCGTCCCTGGACGACCCTTCCCGTCGCTGCCGTCTTTTCTTCTTCGCGTTTCACCCCTTTCCGCGGGTTACCCTCGCGCAAACCCGCCACGGTAGGAGGAACAGAGAAAGAGACAGAAAGAGAGACCTAGGCTACAGAATAGTTACAGGCCCTCCTCGACATTATCTTTACACCTTTTCCGGCGTGTACAAAAGGGAACGACACAAACCCCGGCTGCGGGTTCAAGGAAAAGACTCTGAGAGAAATGTTTGTCCTCCCCGAATAAGGGGTTTGCTTTTCTTATTTCGAAACCCAACCCCCTCTCACCTGTCCAGCGCGCCATTTTGCATGGGAGATCTGTCTTGACCTTCTTACCGCGGGTTAGAATTCGAGACGAGGACACGTCGAAATGGAAGTCACTGGGCTGTAGCTCCCGGGAAGGTGATGATGGTTCGGTTAACCTATTCCATCATCGACCCGCAACGTTTAACCCTTTGCGCTCAAACTACCAGTATAGTAATGTGACACTGTGTATTACTATAGTGAATAAAATGGTAACGTGGAATCGAAGGTGGCCTGAATTGAACGTGTAGGGTCCAAAGAATTTAGCTGAAGAAGATTAACACCTTGCACGATCGGTATCACCAATACAACAGAATGATCTTTTCGTTGGCAATGCCACCAGAAAAAAGGTGTCGATCGCAAATGGTTAAGGGTACACTCCTCTGGAGAATACTGGTCGGTGGTAATAGGCTGCCCTAGTTCGCGAATGATTGCTGTCAAACCCGACTCGCGGATGATCTAAACTCCCCTGCTGCGGACACCCGGAGGATCGTTTAATATCCGAAACGTTGTGTACACCTCTCACGAGCAACGGGGTAGGATCTGCAGAATGTTCTCCACCGGGGGCTGAATTTAAAAGCAAAAACCCGGTACCCGTAAGAACACAGGAAGCAACTTACCAAGCTTGTCGATTATAAACCATTTCCTTAAGATTAAGCAAACGGGCGAATTAGAAAAATGGACCCCACCTGATACAACCGCGCGAGTTTCGAGTACTCATTGATCAGGATTAACAGGGATTAGGAAACTTTCCAAAGTTGCATCTAGAAAGACAACGGAGAAAAACGGTCTATGTGTCTCTCTCTCTCTCTCTCTCTCTCTCTCTCTGGAGATAACAACACGATGAAACTGACAAATATGATTATCCACTATTACACCCTCCAGTGAAAAGGTCGTTCTACTTGGATCATATTTGGATTCCTAATCGACTGGTTCAAAGGGGAGGGGGACGGGAGGCAAGATGACACGCACGATGGACGTCCATGGCATTCGGGGGCGCGAATTCGCGGCAGGGGCCAGAGGGATGATAACATGTTCTCGGATGGACAGGGTAAAGTCGTGGGACACACACAGACACACACGGGAGGGGATGACGACAGCGTGGCGGCGGCATGGGCGCGAACATGGCGTCCGTCGAGGTCGCGACTGCGCGCTCCCTCGAGCGCCGCGTGACCACGCGATCAATAAAACGGGTACGCGCGCGGCGTTCTGTTGTGTCGGAGGGGAGGGGTGAGGGGTAGAAAGAGGGGGGCGCAAAGGATGTTGAATTCGAAAAGTGTTATTCCGCGCGTCTATCTCTGAATGATATGGAAGGGAACGCCTCTCCACGTGGGTGCCACGTGTGCGCTTCCGCCCGCGTCTCTTACGCGCGTGCACGCGCTCGTCCGATTTTCGTCGTAGTCGTCTCGTCATCGTCGTCAGGTCCAATCGAAAAACAGGGAATAAACCGGGTGTAAGCCCCCGTCGTCCTGTTTTCGCGCCGTCTTCGAAACACGGGGGAAACTTTCGTTCTTCTAGCGTGTGTTGTGGTGATAAACCACAGCATTGGTCGGGGGGTTGTTCGTTTCCTAGTCGACTCCGAGAAGCTCTGTGTCTGTCGAGAGGGTATTTTACACGTTGACGAAGAGATCGGAGAAATCGAGTAATCTGTTTCGTAGTGATTCATTTCACAGAGGCGTTGGAAATTTTTTTTTTTGTAAAACACACATCGTTTCACTGGGAATCGAAAGATGGATGTCGTACGGAGAGATTATATCGTCGATGGAATTATAAACAGACCTGTTACCACTGTGGTTGAATCGTTAACAGACAGACAAGTCTTGGATAGAAAACGAATGGAGAAAAAGACATAGGCGGCGGAGGCGATCGAATTCGATATGAAAGGGTTAAAGGGTGAATACGATCGCGCGCGTTCGCGGTCTGAAATGGAATATCTAGCGAGAGAGTGGAATATCTCGACGACAGAATACGTTTGCGATCGAGCGACACACGGCTGGAACGTATCGTAACGATAACGATACACACATGGTACACAATATGTATGTATAATATATACATATATGTCTGGCGACGAAAACGAAGGTAGATTAGACGCGCGATACCGTAAATGTTAGTGAAGATAAAAGGTGTTAAAGAGGAACCATGTATTCATATTTTTTGTTTTATAGTGAATACGTATTCGGGAGGACTAACCTGCTAGCCGCAAGGCCGACATTCTCTGAAACTCGGGCTCCTGTAGCCACTTCCACATCCGTCGGAAGGTTTCGCGTCCGCTCTTCAGCTTCGACCAGGGTTTCGGGTTCCGTAACAGATCGCTCAGAGTGCCCTGGCTACGGCACAGGACCCTCTGGGCGAATATCGCCTGGGGTATGCTGTACCTCTTCAGCTCCGCGCTGATCCTCTGGGCTAGTTCCTTGGTGTTGATCTCCTCGACCTCGCCACCGGCACCGTTCCCAGCCGACGACACGGTCTTCATCACCACCGATGTGTGCTGCACGTGCTGCGTGTGCGATATCGTCTGCTGTGGCATCGATTGTTGCTGTTGCTGCTGCTGTTGTTGTTGTTGTTGTTGTTGTTGCTGCTGCTGCTGTTGCTGCTGCTGTAGCTGCGTCTGCATAGGAGGCGGCGAGGCAGCCGGTACCGAGTGCGTGGGCGGGGAATGATGCGAAGGCGCGAAACTGGCCGTCGCCGAGACAGCAGGCGGCGACGAGGGGCTCAAAGCCGCTGGGCTTTGTTGTAACCTCGGCAAAAATGCCGGATCGTAATGCGGACTCGCGGACTTGTGCGGGGAATTCAAACCGCTCTGACTGTACGCGCTCTGGGGCGATAATGGGCTCGGTTGAAGACCGGCCCCCGGAGATGGATAATTGTGCGGCGGCGACATGCCCATCGAAGGCAGTTTGTCGTACGCGTACGGCGAGCTGCCCATACCGAGGCCGATGTTACCGAGGCCGTTGTTCTGCATCACCGCGAAACTGCCGGTCACGCCGCCGGCCGCGTGTGCACTGTACACAAATTTATCGCTCATCGTCGAGATCGGCGGCAACGGCTGTAACGGCGTGAGGGTCGCGTAAGACGAGCCGGGACTGAAGCCGGGCGGCGACATCCTCTCCGCGACCGAGGTCAGTGTCTGATAGGTCGGCTCCGGCTGCATCGCCCTGAAGTCCGTCGCGTCGATCATACTCGCGACCGATACGCTTATCCCGGACGTCGGCGTTAGCTTGCCCGGACTGAGGAGCTCCGAGTCGGCGTCACGCGAGTCCACGTCCACGTCCTGAGGTGGCACGATCACCGACAGGGACTACCGGCGCCACCGACGGCACCTCCGCCGCTGCCGCCACTGCTGCTGGTGCTACTGCTGCTGCTCGTGCTACCGCTAACACTGCCGCCGCCACCGCCACCGCCACCACCTCCACCTCCACTACCACCACCACCACTACCGCCGCCGCCGCCGCCGCCGCCACCGCCGCCGCTGCCGCCACCTCCACTACCAGCACTGTTACTGTTACTCGGTGGTTCTTGGGACGACGACAGATCCTCCGCGGCGGTGAGCTCTCGCTCCTCCTTGACGCCGAGCGCGCCAGCCGCCAGTAGTTCCAGCGGCAAGCTCGCGCACGCGATGTCGGGACTTTGTGAGGCGGAAGACGACATACCCTCTGGGTTACCACCTCCACCGTTTCCACTTCCACCGTGTCCTCTACCTCCACCACCGATTCCTCCCGTTCCGTCACCTTCGTGTTGCTGTTGATGATGATGATGATGATGATGGTGTTGGGGATGATGATGATGATGATGATGATGATGATGCTGCTGCTGTTGCTGATGATGATGGGTCTGTTGGTGATGATGTTGTTGTTGTTGTTGTTGTTGATTATGGTGATGGTGGTGATTGTGGGGGTGATGATGGTGATGCCTACCCCCACCAACCACCGTTCCTCTACCACCGGTGCTACTTCCACCTCCACCTCCGTTTCCTCCACCACCGGCACAGTTCCCATTCGAGCCACCCCCACCGGTTCCCCGGCCATGCGTAGAGACCGCCGCCGGGGAATCGACCGAGTCCAGTAATTGCTCGCTATGCGATTGATGATCGGCTATGTCCCCTATACCTTCCATTTACGCACATCTAGTTCGGGTGGCCGCGCACTCGCTCTCCCGTGCTCGGACACACCGCGTGTGCAACACACCACCCCCGGGGGTACACGAGAGACACACTCCGTTTCTTCTGCTACTACTCCTCGCGCGGTTCGACACCACGATCACCGCACGTTGCTTCGTTTCTTTTTGTTTTTTTGTTAATTATCCGTAATCGGAGAACGGGCACACCAAGAACTAGTAGCCAGTAGTCCCCGTTCAGTTTTAATCCGTCGTCGTACACTGAACCGCACAGTATCGCGAAACTTCTAGAATTTCAAGCTTCCCCGAATCTTATAAAATATCCACGAGTTTCGCGCGTTTTCTCTTAATTCTCGATCACTGTCGCCGCGTGTATCGACTTCGTCACTGAACAGAGAAACGACAGCACCGAGAACACGCTCTCGACGCGACAGGGAACAACATGGAAGACGACGACACCCTGGACAACAACCACCACCGGCACCACCGACAACAACACCACCGCCTCGTGTCCGAGAACCCCGACGAACGTATCAGAATCCCGGTGCAACCGTGATGATGATCCCGACCGAGTAGTACGTCGCTCGTGGACGACGAGGACGACACCACCACCGCCGTCGCCGCCGTCGCGACCGCCACCGTCGCCTGTTCTCTGATTGCTGCTGTTGTTACTGATCGTACGACGAACGACCGTGTTATCGCTGCTGCCTCTATTGCTCCAGCACGTCGTCGGATCGGCATAGAGATCCGGTACCACAGCAACGGCAACCACCGTGCGCCCATGACATACACGGAGCGAGTGAGAACGCACCACACTGCGCTCGAGTGAATACGTTGCGTTCGTGTCAAGCGCGACAGGGACAGAGATAGAGAGAAAGAGAGTGAGAGCCAAGGGGGAACAAGAGCAAGCAAGCAACACAGAGAGTGTATGTTTGTGTACGTGTGGAGCGAGCACACGAGGAGCAAAGGGGAGGGGGGTGAGCTCGCTCGCCCTTTCTATCTATCTCGCGAGTCGGTCGGTTGGTCTCTCTTTCTTTCTTTCTTTCTTTCACTATCGTCCTCTCTTTCCGTTGCACGGTGTGCCCGCCGGTACCCCCGAGAGCTATCGAGAGGACCCTTTCCGTTCCCCGGTTTCACTCCGCCCCCTTTCCCCGTCGGCATACGAGCCCACTATACACCACCGAAAGAGAATCACCACCACTACTACTACAACCACTACCCCACCACCACCAGTAGCACCGTTGTCGCGTCGTAACCACCTGGTCCACCCTACTATATACCTCTCTAACGTCGCGCCGTGCCTCGTTGCGTTCCTGGCTCCTCTACTGTGTGTTCCCTCTTTTACGTGTGCACCACCACCCCAGGTAAGCGACACCCTCTGACGCGTGCTACGCTCTAACTACGGTTCCTCTACGGGTCCAGGTGCACGACTCGCCGAGTATATACTATCCTCCTTTCTTCTCACTTCACACTCTCGCGTCGAGCGCCTGCCTCTTTCTTTCTTCTGCTCTCTGTCTCTCTTCCGTTTACACGGAGGTACACCCCCCGACTACCACTGCCTGCTGTACCAGCGCTACACAACGACCACACACCACCGTTGCCACCATATCACCAACAACAACATTACACACACACACACACACACACACACACGGTGTGTCTCTACGCGCGCTACGCGCGCGCGCGCGCGCGATCCTTCCCGGTGGCCGCCGATACCACGTGAAAAGCTAACCCTCTTTCGTGAGATGGACAGTGAGACCCAGCAGCAGGATTAACGCGCACCACACACCGAATTCGAGATATGTTTTTCAATCAATCGGAAGGTAGTCGTTTGTGTGTGTGTGTGTGTGAAACACACTCGATATTTAATTGTCCGCGCGCGATACACGCTCTCGAGAGCGGAGCCGTCAGCCGGCCGGTCGTCGTGTGTCTGATCGTCCTTTATTTTTGTATTTTATTTTTTCGTCCGTTTTTTGCACGCGCGCACGCGCACGCGTGATGTTTTCTGACGCGACTCGCGAATGACTTCGCGGCGAGTACTCGTGTTGAAATATCTTTTTCAAAAGTCGCCAGATGAGCCAACCCCCGTCGCGGTCTAAATCGCAAACGACGACGGCATATCTCCCGTCGTGTGCCGCGAGAGTCCACTACGTGCGCGCCAACGACACCGTCACTACCACCACATCATCACCACTGCCACCACCACCACCAGAACCACCACCACCACCAGAACCACCACCACCGTCGGTGCCGCCACCACTCTGGCGTCACTACTCAGAGCCTTCTATCGATTTTCCGATACCTCGTGACCAACGTTGCTCGATGCGCCGATACTTCGAGCATAAACATCGACTGCTATCCCCGGTTGCCGACGCCGGAGAGCCATCCGCGTATATATAACACACCACTTTCGGACGTTTCTGGAACCCGAGGTCGCCTCTTCGATCCGATTATCGAGTGTCCGCCCCTTCGATCGTCTATTTTCTCTATCCTCGCGACGATTTCACCAGGGCTGATTCGTCTGTTTTTCTTGTTTTTTCGTTTTTCGAGGTTACCCAAAGTTCTATCCACGCCTTCGTTCGATTACAATAACTCTGTGCGAGAAAGTATACGAAAATATTTTTCAGATTGCTTTTCCCGGGAACCAAACGTCCAGGCTTTCTCCAGAGGTGTCTTCTCGAGTTATCCCAGAGGTGTGTGTTTATCAGGCGGATATATTCCTCTCGATCCTCTGCAAATGATCGCGTACTCACGTGTCCGTGGTAGACCTGAAATTGCGCCCGAGTCTCCTCGATTGTATATAACATATATCGTTCGAATGTCTTCCTTCTTTCGGTATATACAAGGGATCTCGATGAACAACGTGTCTATGGAGCCCACCCAACTGTCCAAAATCTCCTCTCCGTCGACTCCTCAAACCGGTCTACCACTGATCATACCGTCGAAAATCTTTTCCCAAGCTTTTTTCGTCTCCTCCCATGGGAGACAGCGCGTCTTGCAAAATTTCTCGTCTCATCTCCAAACGTATATGTATATGTATATGTATGTACGTAGTATCTTCGTTTCGACTTCACCAGAGATAGTCCACCAGCACCTCGTGCTCTGGGGCCGTGTTGGTTCGAGAAGAGTTCCTTCCGTGGGGCCGCGTGCGCGCGCGCATACGCTCGTCGTCGTCGTCGCACCGCGCGCGAATCCCGTCGATCAATACACGCAATCGAATATCGTCGCAAAGCGACTTGTTCCGGGCCACCCCGACCGTGAGATAGAGAGAGAATCGATCAGCGTTCGTACACCACGTGTCCCGTAACGTTTGCGAAACGAGACGCGCGTTCGAGCCACCGCTTCGACGACGCAATTCCACGATCGAAACGCGCATCCCTCGTCGGTCGTCTCGCAGTCGTCGTCGTCGTCGTTCGAAAGGGGAACGGTGGAGGGTAGAAGGGGAGGGTAGAGTTTCAAGATGTCCTCCCCTGGGTCTACCCCTTACGCGGAACGATCGAGAGTCGAGAACGTAGGTCGAACGCGCAACGGTTTTCACCGAATCACGGACGACCGAGAAACCGATACAGAAATCAATCGATGGAAAACATAGGGGACATCGACGAATCTAATCGATCTCTCTCAAAGTCTAACCACCCCTCCCGTGGTTCGAATCGATACTTTACTACCCCCGGTTCACACTCTGACCGGAATTAATCGTTGGCTGAATCGTTGAACGAAGCGCGCGTCACCGATGGACAACGAGACGACGAACGATCCTCTTCGACTCGCGATCCACCCCCGTGGTTACGTGTGCAGCACGCACGCTGCTGCTCGTGCGCGTTCACGCGCACACGCGTGCGCGCACCCTTCGGAGGATCTTGTGTGTGTACATGTCTGTGTGTCACCCCTTGGTTACTAGCCTATGAGTTACCACCCTCACCCTCGTCTGTCTCCTTCCCTCTCTGTATATACAGAAAATATAGAAACAGTCGAATGTCCCTCGGGTTTACTATAGCGTATACACGCCAGTTCTCTATCGATATCGATTCCTGTCATTTGCTTAGCTAAGAACAAATGGAAAATAATATGTCTTTGTTTCTACCCAGTAAGGCCTCGTGGTTTCCGCATTTTACGAACCGCGCGCGCTCTCGACTCGCTTCGTTCCACGAAAGGGGTAGTAGGTTGGGAAGGGGTGGATGGCCGCGAAAGGGGAACACACACACACATACACTCGTTCGCACGACGAAGAGGAGAGATGCGAGAGAACCACCACGGAGTTGCGCAGAAATCGCGAAACGCGCAACCTACGATGCCGACGAGAGAGCAGCAGCTTCGTCCTTCGTGTTTGCCCTGCTCGATCTCTCTCTCTCTCTCTCTCTCTCTCTCTCTCTCTCTCTCTCTCTCTCTCTCTCTCTCTATCTGACTGCTTTCTGCGGGGCAGCAGCGGGGAATGGAACAATCGACGGGTAGTGGGGGAAAACAGTGAGGGGTTGGAGATCTTGCCACACGGGGATCTGTAACGAACTCGATACGGACGAACGGACGGGCAGCGCGCAGGGGTCGCGAGGAGAGGAAAAGACCGCCACCGCGAGGGGTTGGAACACGCTGGCTTGTGGAACAGTACGGAGGGGTGGCTCAGGGACTGGCTGACGGTTCTTAGTACCCCTGGCCTTAAGGGGACCTAAGCGTTCGAGCAAACCGGTCTTTCCGCCACGGCTGATTTTTCTACTGCCCAGTTCCGATGGGGTGTCTGAGATCGTTTGCGTTATTGGGCGCAATAGCGCTCGGATCGTACACTCTTGACCAGAAATAATAATCGTTTGAATATTTGAAGATCGTATGGAATGTAATTAGGATTGGAAAAGTAGTCGTTTATACATGTTAGGACATCAAGCTGGTAAGAATTCGGAAGACGGCTTCGGAAGATCGATTCCCTTGACGTGTTACCCTAGGGAATCGATCTTCTGAAGAATCGAATCGAAATCGGAACATCCCTACTTTCGATGCGTGTACTGAAT